AAAAACTGTAACAATCTGTTGTCCGCATAAATGAGACATAAGAGGACATATGGACCAGTCCACATCAGTTGTCAGTCTCCTTCTATCGACTGCCCAGATATAAAAGCCGATCCCTAAGGCCTGAGTAGAGGATCTGACTGGAAAATCCTATTGTTCCTATGCCACTAAAACTAATTTTACCATCGGATGGGTCAAGTCAAGAAATCTCCCTGGCCACTTATGCAAAGTCCCCGACGAAGTCAAGACATATCTTAACTCATCTCCAGAACCCTAAGAAAGCTAAGACCCACCTCGGTCCGACTCGAAAGTCACCTCGAATGTTCAACCGCTACCTTGGGATCTCTTCAACTAGACCTTCCCCGACTCTAACCATCTCACATAAATGACCATGTGGATTATCAGGACAAGCTCACATTTTTGGGATAGAATCAAATCATGTCGATTAACATTCGACGACGAGGCCACAAAGAGAATTTCAAGTTAAGTTTCGATATCGAAAGATTCAATCACTAATTTCAACTAGACCTTCCCCGACTCTAGTTTCAAAAATACCATCATGAGATTTATTCAAAACTATCATAATAGTTTGAGTTTTAAAGGTGTCTAAGTACCGAAGAATAAGATGAATCATATATCACCCAGATCCATATTAACAATTATGTATATAGTTGGCTACTTGACTTGATTCTTGATATAAAATTTAAACCATATATAGAGGTGAAAACAATAAAAAGCTTTTGAAGAACTTTTGCCTCAAATATATACATATATATGTACATGTACACAACTAAGCATCAATCCAGTTCGAACGATGAAGTTAGAATCGTCAAACTCTGTCGGCAGGATTAATAGTTCAACCAAACAAATGATGATTACATTCTAAACATCAAACAAAGCAAGCATGATTAGCGGTGGGACGTCGGCATGGGCTGTTAAATCCCTTTAATTGCTGCATGTGTGCACGGGCGTGCGGCAAAGATTCCTTCGATCTCTCCGATGTCAAACCCCGAAGGTGTTGCTGACACAGATGGCTTGAAATGCCAGTATCATCTACATGGGCAGGGTGGGCACGTAGGTCCTCCTTGATGGCAGCTCCAGTGATGGAGGGTTGTACCGTGCGATGGTCCACATGGAGAAGAAGAAGAAGGCAGAAAGGCTAGCCGAGGACCATCACTTTCCATGGGACGACATGAACAAGACAGTGAAGAGAGAGCTGAGGTTGATGATGATGATGATGATGGATGGATGGAGGAAGAAGGAGAGGTGGGGCAGCGTTGTTTTGCTTTAGCTTATCATCCCTGGATCATGATCTCTGCTTGAAAAGGAAGCTTTGTTGTTGGTTCCTGGGGGCCATGGCGAAGTCTTGTGCATGCTTCTCCATGACTACCCCATGAAGACCGAAGACCTGCGACCAAATGATTGTGAGAAGGATTTGCAGTGAATAAAGCCAATGTCGGCATTTTGACCAAGCTAATGTTAGCTGTAAACATTGACGAAACTACATACACATACAAGTAGATTTGACACACGTCTGAAAGCAAGAGAAATTGGAATGGCAAGTGTTCCAAAACATTCTAATCGTCCGACACGTGGTTTTAGGTAGGAACCAATTGTTACTTTCGAATCCGTTTTAGATTAAGGTGTCAGGATCCAGAGATTCGGATCGAGACTATAAAAAAATATTATCTTATATCTACCCTTCGATGTTTCACCTAAAAGTTTTCGAGATTATATCTGAGAGTCTTCTATAATGTGATGGGCGATTGGTCCGATCGTAAAACCATGTATCGAATCATCATCAGCACTGTATAGCCAACCTCATGAGGCTAAGTGGACATCCTCATCAACACTACATCGTCGGCCTCGTGTGATCAAGAAAGCTTGGAGAATATTTTGTCTCGAGTTCGCACCATCTGTCATCGTTGAACATAATGGGTGTAATAAGAAGGATATTATCCAAGTTCGCACCATGTCTTCATGGCAATTATCTGCATGAAGCTTCTTCATGTCAATTCCAGATGCTCTGGAGTGACTTGAGCTCAGCCTTGACGCACTAAATTGCTCTCATCTTTTCATTGATCTCACACCGAAGCATTCAACCTGGTAGAACTAAATCTAAGTGATCATAGTTATGGGCAAATCATTAGCTGTTCCAGCTTCAAATGAAGAGGAGATTTGCTCCTATAAAGCTAACGTGAATCCTAAGTTTTCTACCTGGTTTATCGGATGCTCGTCTTCTATCATATTTGCTTTTCCCTGAGGGAAAAAAGGGTACCTATCATCTCGAACAGTCATCTTCATGTGTAAGTATGCAGGATGTACAATGATTCATCAACCTCAGATCAAATTATGTGTCACAGGTTCGAAAAGATCCACCTATGAATCAAAGAAAGGTACATCGATGACAGTCACTACACTCAGAGGAGCTGTCGATGGTGATCGGATGTTTCCCACCCATAATTGAGTTCGTTTTCCATGCCCAGTGGAGGTCAGGAAACATAGTTAAGTAACTGTGAAGGAACATTGAATGACCAAGAACAGAAGTAGCAGGTTCTTGTGACGCACTGTTCTCTCCCCACTCTTTGCTAGCTCATCCCTCTCCAATGCCAAAACATGGAAGCTGGAATGTAGTCAATCATGGTTGTTGCTTCGTGCAAAGATTGGGGAAGAACTTGCAAGCAAGATCTCCCTGATCTTTCCATCTCAGCGACAGCATCTGTCATGGGGGACACTCTTTCCTCCATGCAGTATCTTTCAGTGATGGAAAAAAAGATTTGAGGTCAACAACTAATCCATCTGCTTAACATGTCTACCTTCTCTTAATCCCTGCCTTTAGCTAGTTGAGTGTCTGAAGAAATACCTTTCACTGAAACAAATTTGCGCCTGCTTTTTGACTGTCCTTTTGCGGAAAAGTTTTGGGATATGGTGTGTGGGAGAAAAGGCATGTTGGAAACCTTCACCATGAGAGATCATGATGAGTAAACCTTGTGGAACAATTTGCAAGGCTTATTCTCCAAATCTCATTGTTACGCAATGTTTGAGGTGGACAAACTCACTCATCTGCATGATCCACTTCTTCAGAATGCTATTCAAGATTAACAGATCAAAGGATTACTGAGTCAGCACAATGAAGTCTGGAGCACATCCTATTCAGAGTTGGTGAGGGGTGAAGAAATGAACAAGGCTGCAGATTGCATGAGGCATTCCCTGTGTCTCCTTGTATCAGCATCAACCTAAGTTTTCTTACAGGCAACAGGAATACATTCCAACAATGCATACATATGCTTTTGTTGGATGGAACCAATTAGTTTAGTGAGTTATCATGAAAGACCTGTAAATTAATCATACACCTTAAAATAGGGCCAACCTCATAATAGGGAAGATAGAGTACTGGATTGCCTTTGTTTCTTATGTAGTTCCCTTGGCTCTGGTTTTTGTGACTTCAAAGATGAGCTACTATGATGTTTCCTTTTCATGGGAGGCATGTATGCAGTTGAATCTAGCGTAGGGTGGAAGACCTTCAAGTCCACATCTAAGAATCCTTACCAAGTTGTCTTGGAAAGATTTGGATGGACAAGAAGGGCAGCCACCACAACAGTGGTTTTTGCTAACCCATATATGGATGGCAGACATTGTTGACATGAATATGGTCGACCAAAAAGTTCATAGATTTTGTTTCTGTCTTCCATATACATAGTAGCTTCTCTTCATAGTCTCCACAATTACCGTAAGATAGAGTTGGGGGTCTTCTACAATGCAACTACGGCATTTTTTTTTTTCTCTTTGTGTAGTTTTCAAAGATATCCTTGCTTGATTTCTTGTGCTGCTGCTACCACAAGTCCAGCTAATTGCAACTGGAAACATCATGCAGACTTGTGATCATGTCTGAGGCCACTTGTTTAGACTCCAGTGGCCACAGCCTGAAACATATTCATCAACAAGTGAATGAAACTTTGAAACTTTCACTTCAATTTCCTTTGTTCAAACTATAACAGGAAGAATGATAATGGTGCCAATTCTGTGTTCAAAGTTGAAACAGTAATGGCATCTCCAACAAGCTGCAGGTAATCAGACTACAGTGATGTTATAGTCTGGAAAATCAGGTGGGGCTATTTGTTTTTGTTCAAAATATAGATGTAATTGTTGTATAAATATTATGATTACTGTCATAAACAGGCTAAGTTTAATAAAGCAGTTCAGAGGTTGATCTATCCCTGTCACAAACCTAAGGAATCATCAACAAGTGCGAACATGGTTCATCTTGTTCTTAGTACAGGCTTACATAGAACCTTCAATCTGATAAGCCAATTGACAGGGACTTCAATGGACCACCATATAAAGTAAATTGAAGCTCTACATCTCATGTTTCATGTCACTTGATTCTGAACCCTATGACAGTTCAAGGTAAAATAGATCTTACTGACCTCCTTGAGAAAACCTAGAAAAGAATGAAGGAAAAGATTCAGTAGTTTCAAGTAATTTCTTTTGCGAGTCGCCGATATTATTTTCGGTGGTTAGCTAGTCATGTAGAGATTAGAGAAGCACCAAGATTAGGTCAATTCCGATGCGACTAATTTTCGTTACATCGAGGTGACAATTTGAGACCATGAAATCTGTTCATATCCACAGAAAAAAGATCTTATGTAAACTGAAACTATCTTAATTGCTACTTGAGACATGCAAAAATTTTGATGCCAATTATTTTTTTTAGGCAATGATTGATAAATAAACAATGATTGCATTGACTCAGATGAATTTATGTAAAATATTTTTGGGAAAAGATTGCAGATTAACGAAGCTTCATGGTCATTACAGCTAGTGAAAATGTCATCTCCCAACTACCTGCAAAGCTTTTGGCTTTCCCTCCATCAACAGTTGCTAGCTTCTTTTGAAGTATTTTTATTCACTCTGTTCCGACCACTGAAGCTATCTTAAATCTCAATCCACTGCAGTGCAAGGACCTCAGAGACTTGCTTAGAAACCACTTGATTGCTTCACCTTCCTCCTCTGTTTCTTTCTCTCTCTCCATCTCTGTGTGTTCTCCACTCTCCCATCTCTTTCCTTCCCCCTCCGCATCTAGCTTGAATCTCAAGCATATTGCACTCACAATAAATCCAGCTTATGATTCCCCTCCCTCAGCCTCTCATGCACATCAACCTTTTAAGTCCCTCCACATCCAGGAACACCAGGCGTGGGTTTGGAGGAATGGGACGGCATTCTTGCTGTCTCGAGCAGAAGATAAGGAAAGGCTTGTGGTCTCCTGAAGAAGATGAAAAGCTCTACAATCACATCATTCGATATGGAGTCGGCTGTTGGAGCTCTGTGCCGAAATTAGCAGGCATTCTTCAGCTCTTCGTTGTTTCTGATCTTCTTCTTCCCCTCTCGTCCCGATTCCTGTGTGTAATTCAGATACTTATTTTCTCCTCGCAGGACTGCAACGCTGTGGGAAGAGTTGCAGACTGAGGTGGATCAATTACCTGCGGCCGGACCTTAAAAGAGGCAACTTCTCGCAGCAAGAGGAGGATTTGATCATAAGCCTACACGAGATCATGGGCAACAGGTAGCAGGCAAGCCTGGAGGAGATCATGTAAGCAGCTCATGGTGTCAGGCTTTCTCACGGTTTGTGGTTGCAGGTGGTCGCAGATTGCATCACAATTGCCTGGAAGAACAGACAATGAGATCAAGAACTACTGGAACTCGTGCCTCAAGAAGAAACTCCGACAGAGAGGAATCGATCCGAGCACCCACAAGCCTCTGTGCGAGACAGAGACCGAAGCCCAAGAGGCGAGCAGGACACATCTCGAGCAGTTGCCATTACAGCCGGTGTTCGACCCATTCCCACTGATCGAAACCGAGACATGTCTGGATTCAGTGGAGAATAATGTGAACATCTACAACCAATTCCACCAATCTTTTGAATCATCACTAGCGCAGACTGAGTGCTATGCCAACTCAGGGCTACGAGAATACAGCAGTGTGTTGGATGTTTATGGAGACAGCTCAAGCAACAGCAGCAACTGGAATTGCAACACAGGAGCTGAGATGAAAGATGTGGTGGGAGATGAGGCCTTGAATTGGGTAGCTCAGAGTGAGGGGGAAGCACCACCTCATGTGCACATGAATGGAGGGGAGGCCCATGAACACAAGTTTAGTCCTTGGCAAGAGAAAACAAATGCAGAGAGCTCAGAAGATTACAGTACCTATTCCATGAGGTTTCTGTCTTGTGATGTAGCAGAGACCTGCTTTGATATCCATCGAGGAGCATTGGCAAGTGAATTTAATGTGGATTTCTTCTAGAGTTTCTTCAAATGAATGTTGTATTCTTCTTCTGGTCTGCTTCTAATCACAATTTTTCTTTTCTGTTTTTTGTCATTATGAAGAGTATAGATTTATAAATAAATTGCTATTTTTTCTTCTCAATTCCTTGAAAAGGAAAAAATAATTAATGGATATCCATTATTGCTATTACCTGAAAATTTTTCTACTCATCTCTTTCTTGCCTCTCATTCAACATCTCAAGAACATTTTGGTAAACAGAGGGAATGACTTCAAAAGCCTCTGCTGCTGCTAATTGTAATGTTGCCTCTCCTGCCGATGCATCATACTAATCGTACACGTCTTCAACATAAATTCATGTTCACATATCCACAGAATGTTCCGGTTGACTTGTCGTCTAAACAAGTCAAATCCTACTGAAAGATACTCTCACAGGAACTACTGATGGATGGATAACAAGACGCGAGAGAGAGACGTGGGATTTGTCTCAAAGAGGAAGGTGAAGCATCAGTGGTTCGGTTGTCTACTTAGATAATAAATGACGATCCTGTTCCAAGTATTTACATGCTGTTCTTCTCCTTCGGTAGCAGTCACTGGTTGATCATTGAAGAGTTCTGCTAAAGAAACTGCTTTCTCCTTCTGCTACTATCTAAGACATGAGAAAGACATTCCTGAGCAATTTGTCATGAACTACTCTGTATGATTCTTGAATTGCTTTCTCAGACTTATAGACAGAAATTGGCAAAATTGGATAGAATTGATTTTGGCTGATTCTGGCCAATTCTAAGCGATTTGACAGCCGCAATAACAGAAAAAGAAGAAGAAAAGGAAAAATGCGGAGATTTCCTGCTATCTCAAAGATTTTAGAATATCGCAGACAGTAATCTAACAACAGGATCACTAGCATGAGGAGATCAACCGAAAAGCATCAAAATTCGATCTTTAGGGCAGAAGACCTCACAAAATCGAATTTTTAGAAGAAGACCTCACAAAACCTTTGAGAAAGGTCTCGGTAATCCATTTGGTGGGGCGTTCAAGTAATGGCGCCATCAGAAGTTGGTGGGCATCTCAAAGGATGGACGACGTGGATCCCCTCGCGTAAGTATCTCCTCTGCACGAATCTCAAAGCACGATGTATGGACACACATGGCAGAAGGTACGTGCGTCTTGAGCAAGATGACACCAACACACATGCATGCATTCTTCATGCTGCTTTCCAACCACTTCGGAAGAGGACGAGGCTAAAAGATTACAATTGAAGGAAAATAAATGGTGACAACACATCAACCTTATTGGTTTTGGGTACTTCACTCGAGCAAATTAACCTGAGGAGGGCCAACAAGAACATCAAGCAGAGATAGCTCACAGGGGAGAGAACAACCGAGGATTACAGAAACATGAAGAACATCCAGTGGAAGTCGTCACTGCACTTATTGATGGTTCAGCTTCCTGCAGTTCATCCTGATCTCTCCCTTGTTCCCGGTGAGAGGGGTGATGTTGCCCATCTTCACCATGGACCTGGCGAAATGCTGGAAGAAGAGCTCGTTGTGCGCCGCGTAGAGCTCAACCAGGTGCATCGTCGCCGGGTTGTTGGTGAAGAGGATCTCGTCGGAGCTGAGGAGGCCCGTCTTGGCCATCAGGTTCCTGAAGTAGGAGTTGTCGAACTTGGTGGGGCTGACGAAGTCCAAGGGGAAGAGGTTCTGGTCGCCGCCGGAGCGCGGGCATCGCGTCCTCAGATGAGCTGCGTAGGCCGGGTCGAGGGTGAAGTCAGGGAACCCCTTCCCGGTCTGGTTGTACAGCCTCTGCCGGAAACTGGTGCATCGCGATAGCCCGATCGTGTGGCTACCTGCATCGCATTGGATCACCTCGCTGTTACTGCATGCGTGATTCCTGAGATAAAGCTACATGTGTTAAGGTTACCAGAGAGGGCGACGAGATCCACAAGGTCGAGTCCCTTGAGCTTGAACTTGGTGAGGATGGTCTGAAAAGTGTTGTTGGGAGCAGGAATGTTGTTGTTAGACCCTTGTATGCTTGCTCCCAGTGAGTCTCTCCTTCCCAGTGGAACATCCCAGTACGGGCCACCAGCCTAATCCACAGCACAAACAACATAAATCTAATCTGAGACTTTAGATCTAAACCCTAGCATGGAACGAGATATGTATCATACCAGGACAGTAGAGTCTCTGGCAGCAAGAGCTAATACGTCGGCGCAGGAGACTGTGTGAGGACACTCCTTCTCCAACGCAGACTTGATCTCATCGATGACCTCGAACCCTCTCACGGAGTTGCGATTAGGGATGGACCCCTTCTCGCTCACAATAGTCCCACTGCTGTCCAGCAAAATGGATGCGTCGCAGCCCTGGAAGAGACAGAGAGAGAGAGACACACACACGACAGTGTTACACATTGCGTTTCGATCTATGTGATGTGGTCGAATGAACTAACCTTAACGAAACAATCATGGAAGTGCAGGCGAAGCAAGGAGGCAGCCATGCGTGCTTCCTTCGCAACAGCTTTCGCGACGATGGACTTCACGATCTCTTGGGCTTTGGGGCACGAGTGGTCGTAGAACTGTGGGTAGAGGAACGGGCCGCCATAAGGGAAGGCGAAGCAGAGAGGAGAAAGAGCGAGGGCTGCGAGGACCACAAGGAAGCTGCTGATAGAAAGAGCCATGTTTCCTGCTTCTTCTTCTTCTTCTTCTTGAAATGCTTCTTGGTGATGATGGAAGATTAGATTGGGGCATTTATAGTGCAGAAAGGCATAACAATTAATTCGAGATAGTGGAGTTAGTAGGCTATTGCGTAGCTTCTTCCTCCTACTCCATGGCCACCATGAGAAGAGCAAGTATAACGGAAACAGGTATTTTATTCATCAGGACCATGCAAGTGATTAGAATCACTTCACTTCTTTTGAGATTGGGATTTGACTTGCTATTCACATAGCTCTGCAATAGTTGACTGTATCTGCTTACAATGGTGGTCAAATGTTGTCTTAGAAATGAACGAAAACCTTGTTTAGTTTTGGCTCATGTTTTTGTAGCACAAGATCAAATAAAAATCTGACAAAAGGATCTTACTGACCTTAGTTACTGTGCAATAAGAAGTCCTGCCAACCTAAGGTTTCAAGTCACTTCCTCTGAGGAAAACATGTTCCATTGACAGTTCAAAGGAAGGAAGGATTTAGTGCATACAAAAAATGTAAAGGAAATGTCAAATAAATTCCTCAGATCCATAAACAGCCACAAGGATTAGGTGGTAAGTCAAGCTCAGTCCTGGATAGGTGGCTTCATAGGCAGACAAAACTTTATTAAAAGACACAATAGGCCTCCTAGAAAGGGTAGGGAAGACCATAGCACAATAATCCAATACTCCTTAATTTACCTTTTCAACTTCTAGCTTGGTCAAACTTGGATAATAGCATTTAGAAGACATGGGCATCAAGAAGGTAACTTGATATCATTAACCCAAAGGATTAAACTGATGAATAGTGATGAACTAGTATCTAGCATACATCAAACCCTCATGATCCACTGTCACATATTCTGGTAATCTAAATATTGCATGCAGGAGTTTCTATCTAACAATATTATCACACTCTCTGTCCAACTACATACCAGTCCTCCATTCATATGCACATGAGGAAAAGGTAAGTAAACAGAAGAGTACCAGCTTCACAGTGCATTAGTTACCACAATATCTGAACTCAGATCTCTACCGGCAATTCTATCCACAAAAAAAAAAAGTAATTTGCAGTAGCAGTTGAGGTGGACATGGATACCTGCTCCTCACATTGCCAAAATGAATCAGCCTCACATATCTGTGTGTCTCTTCCCATGGCCAATCAAGGATTGGTGCCTCTTTTGCCTTGCTTTGCATTTGTTTGGTTCTTGGATCAGACAATTCTCTACCTGCTCCTGAGGCCAATGCTACTTTCTAATGTGTGTTTGGTGGCATCAGTCTGATGATTCATGCACCCACTTCCATGAAGCTATTTGAATGCCTGCTAAGGCTAGCTAATGAATTATCAGGATGACATTCTCCAGCTAAAGGATGAAAGCTACAAGACATGGAAGATGAACAACTCATCTATTACTGCAACTAACCAGCTTGCATGAGTAGTGGTTGGAGGAAGTGGCTGCACAACTTGGCAATGACCTTATGATCTCATCTGTTCCTCTTTCGTGTTTCTGATCTCACTTGAAAAAGGAAAACATGCAGATTAAGTTTCATACCAAGTTTTCATGGAGCATTATCATGTAATTACAACTTCATTAATATCACATTCAATTAGTGCATGACTTCCTTGCAACTGTCCCTTTCTCTTTTTTCATGTACTTTGTTGTTCAGAAAAGTGTGATCACTGTGATATCAATTGGAATTCGTCGGCTGTGATTCATCTTTCCTCATCAGTTGGACTCTAGCATTGTTTACATACTTTAAATGAGATCATTCATCAATAGGAATAAAGATTGACCTGTTGACTGATTTAAAAGACTAAAGTTTATATACTGCAAGTCAAGTAAACTTGATATATCAAATGTCATATATGGCACTTGCAGGATGCATTACAAATCAAAATATCTTATTAACTATTGATCTGATGATCAATTGTACATGTAATTGTGGAATAGTATATTTACTTAGGTTTGGGCTATATGGGCCTAATCATTTATTATTATTTGGCTCAATTAAACCGCGACCATTGAAACAGTATCAGTAGTATCTTGTAATGAGTTTGGGTAATAATTTAACGAGTTAACGATTCTCCTCTAATGAGATATGAGGATATTATAGAGACATTTGGACATATTCATCAAGCCATCAATAATCTAAAGTTATATAGGATTTAGGATACAATAACTATGTTCTAAATTTATTTACTTCTTATAAGGATAAAGTTGATGATCAACACATAAATTTGAATGCCCCAACACTCTCCTCATATCCCATCCCATGGGTTGATTTCCATACGTTGGTGTCAAAATCTCTTCATCATCAACTTGCCCAACCATCTTAACCAGTGTTTTGATATGCCCATGGGTGTGTGCAGCCATTTCCCATTAGTTTCTGAGCTCCTCTCCCCATCATGGGGTCTCCCACTGACCTATGTGTTTGTGTGTGGAACTCCTTCTAGATATGATTCCATATGTGGCCCCATACACCACATCTTCAAATGATCATATGCAAATTAGGTAGTGGGAAGAAAAATCATATCATATCCACTTGAGTGCCAACATCAAATCAAGTTCAAATTTTGCAATCATTTTAATTGAAAACAATAATTATTATAATTAAGAAAATACTTCGAGTCTATCAATTAATCCTCATGTGTATATATATATATAATTCCTTTGTCGTACTATAGGCATGATTTAGTGGGAAATTGATTGGGTCATTGCGAGCTACAAACCATTAGTCGTCTTCTTGTAGGTTCCAATCGAGCCCACTACTACTCGTGGGTGGGATATAAACCAACTCGAAAAGATTGATGGATAAAGAGAGCAAGTTGAAAGTGAAGTCATGATCTAGAGAGAGAGAGAGAGAGAGCTTTTGTCATGTCAACAATTCCGATACATCACATCATTTCTGATTTTTTGGGTATCTTCTCAAAGAAATTTTGTCCTTCTATTAAGGCAAATATTATCTTATGACTCATAGGTCTCATCATTCGTTGCTTGGTCAAGAGATAGGAGTTACACTTGGATCACCTCATGTTAACCTAATCGTTGGCGTTTGACTATGATGCATCATTTGTTATGTACAATTGGTATTGCCATGTGTTAAGAGTTGTGACTAAGTCAAGAGGGGTTGGAAATTTAGTAGAAGGATCAACTCATAGAACTCTTTTGAGTACAAACAACAAAGTATATGTTTGACTCAACACAAAAATAAAACTGATAGTGGTGTCACATCAACCTAATTATGGTGCCATAAAGAAGTATACACCAATCTATATCAAATAACCTTGAATTAATACAAAAAATACAGTGGCAAGCATGCTAAACCAGTCCTTTATAATCTACCGAGAAGATGATTTATTTTTGGGTGCTTGTCTTTTGTTGGAAAATATATGTACTATATTATTAGCTTCTAACATAATTTTAAGGTCTTTTCTAATTAATAAAAAAAAATCACTTCCATTTCCTTTTCTCTTTAAATATAATGATTTAATTCAGTCATAAATCATTGTGTGGATACATAGTTGTGGACAAATTGACCTATTAGTCCATATAAATAATTAGTGCATCCTCCTCACACCTACGCTATAATGCAGCCATCAGCAAGGCAGATGACAAGTTTGACCAAAACCTAAGTCTCCTTCTTTATAAGTCCTGTCACATTCCCAACAACTTCAAAAATGATGTCTGTGATGTGACATAAGTCCAAATAGATCTCACTTATTTCTCCTTCATATTGGTCCCATTTCCTATATTTATTCCCATCGGCAGTACATGCACAAAGCACCCGTCAAACACGCGTGCTATCACCGGTCATCGTTCCCACAATGCCTTACATAAAGCTTACGTACATATATCACTGTACATGGGACCATACCATCCCCCGCACTTTGCACCAGCCACAGTGCAACATGATATATATCCGTGGCTTTGATTGCCACAGCATCGCACCTACCTTCCCTCTTCCTCCCCTAATCAAGCAATGGCTACTGGTTATGGCTGCGGAGGTGGAGCTCTTGTTCCGATGTATGTAATGCTGATGGCCTTGCTCATCAGCAGCAGAGCCATCTCTCGTCTCGAAGCGAAGGGGAGCTGCGTAGAGAGCGAGAGGAGGGCTCTCCTTGCCGTCGGGGCCGACATGTACGACCCTTCCGGCGACTGGCTCGCCTCCTGGACCGGCGACGACTGCTGCACGTGGAGAGGAGTGGCCTGCGATGGTGCCACTGGCCATGTCACGAAGCTCGACCTCCGCTTCCCTTACCTGGACGTTGTCGGAGACGTCGACGCCAGCAGGGTGAACCCTTCTCTGCTTGAGCTGACGCACCTCAAGTACCTGGACCTGAGCATGAACAACTTCTCCTCCGCCGCCGTGCCCGAGACGTTCGCATCCCTGGTGCACCTGGAGTACCTGAACCTGTCGAGCGCCATGTTCGCCGGCGCCGTCCCTCCTCGGCTGGGGAACCTCTCCGCCCTTCGCTACCTGGATCTCAACGGGTGCTACGGCGACCTGCACGTGGATGACCTCGGCTGGCTCTCTCACCTTCCTTATCTCAGGTATCTCGACATGAGCTGCGTCGACATGTCGCTAGCGACCAATTGGTTCCACTCCATCAACTCCATCCCCTCCCTCCAAGTGCTGCACCTGCAGTGGTCGAATCCCACGTACGTCCCGCCCACCCTGCCGCCTTTCAATCTCACCTCCATCACCATGCTCGATCTCTCCGGTAACCTCAACATAAACACTTCCATCCTGGACTGGCTGTCCAACGCCAGCACCCTCGAGCATCTCCAGCTCGGCTCCTGCGGCGGGTTCGATATCCAGCCGCTGCAACCTGCGCTGGCGGCTCTCACTAACTTGCTGGAATTAGATCTGTCGGCCAACGACATCGAAGGCGAAATCTATGGGATTGTGGGCAACGCCAGCAAGCGCTTGCGGAATCTGGATCTGCAATGGAACAAGCTAACCGGAGACATCGCACGCATCTTGGTGAGCCTAAGGCACCTGGAGTACCTGGTCATAGACAACAATCAGATCACCGGGCATCTTCCCGAGATGCTGGGAAATCTCAGCAGCCTACGGTATCTAAGCTTCAGCTCCAATCAAATTTCCGGTGACATTCCACAGACCGTTGGGAATCTCCTTCGCTTGGAGTTCATATACTTCTCCGGCAATAACCTCAGTGGCGAGATACCACAGAGCATAGGGAACCTCACCAACCTGATACAATTGTATTTGGGAAGGAACACCATCGCCGGATCGATACCCGAGAGCATCGGCAATCTCCGCAACCTCGAAGAGCTCTACCTGTCGCATAACAGCATCACAGGGCACCTACCTCCGTCCATTGGGAACCTGGAGAACTTGCAGGCCATGTACTTGCAGAACAACTTCATTACTGGACGAATACCAGCGACCGTCGGGGGCCTCCGAAGCTTACGGCGCCTGGACATGTCATCCAACAGCTTGACGGGGAACATACCGAGGGGAATGGGAAGCTTGTGCAACCTAGAGTACATCGATTTGTCCGACAACAATGTCGCAGGGGAGCTTGCTGATCTCATAGATGGTTTGTCGAACTGCTCTCCACCACTGCGTCTATCTTCCCTGCATGTTTCGAACAACAATTTGAGTGGGATCATCCCTCCAAGCTTGGGCCAGTTATCTGAACTCTCTGAGTTGTACCTCCCCTCGAACTCGTTGGTAGGGAATGTGACCGAATCCCACTTCGCCAATCTCGCCATCTTAAAGTTCTTGGACATTTCTCAGAACACCTTGAGGGTGATCCTGCCTGACGACTGGGTTCCTCCTTTCGATGCCTTCACCATTGGAATGAGCTCCTGTCATCTGGGAACCATAATTCCTGCTTGGATCCGAACCCAGACGAGCCTAGAAAACCTGTACCTGTCCAGAACAGGGCTCTGGGGTACCATTCCAGCTTGGTTCTCGGGCTTCAACCCCAGTGGCTGGCATTACCTTGACTTGAGCTCCAACAGCTTGCATGGTTCATTACCAGTTGTGCGTTCTGTCGAGCAGAGCATCATAAACCTCTCCAACAACTCCTTCTCGGGACCTCTCCCCCGGAGCTTTGCAGCTGATCTGAACCCATCCATCTTGACCTTGTCTGACAACCGTATCAGTGGAGACTTCCCTCCCTTCTTTTGCAACATGACCTTACTGGAAGTCCTCGATCTGTCCAACAATGGCTTGTCCGGGGAGTTGCCGGACTGCCACAGCTCATATCCAACATCGCTACAGTCTCTGCACCTGAACAATAACAGCCTCTCTGGAAGTCTTCCTGCCTTCTTGAAACACTGCAAGCAATTGATCACCCTTGATCTGGGTGAGAACAGGTTGTCTGGTGAGCTACCGAGGTGGATAGGAAGCAGCCTCTCGTCTTTGAAGGTTCTTCGGTTGAGGTCCAATCTACTCCATGGCACCATCTCGGCGCACATATCCAACCTCACATCCCTCCATGTCCTGGATCTCTCCTGCAACAATCTTTCCGGTGCCATCCCTTCGTCCATTGGATTGCTGGACGCAATGGTCGTGATACAGAATGTCATAGAGCCGCTGATCGACAGCAACGCGCGGTACTACAGTGAGCATGTCCTGATAACCACCAAAGGATCGACCATCGAGTACAGCACCGTGCTATCGCTGGTGACGAGCATAGATCTGTCGAACAACGATCTGCATGGTGAGATTCCGGTTGAGCTGACCGATCTCCATGGACTGCATTTCCTGAACTTGTCCAAGAACCATTTGGCGGGGGAAATCCCGACTGATATTGGCGGCATGAGGCAGCTGGAATCACTCGACCTGTCGATGAACAATCTCGGCGGCGAGATTCCTTTGAGCTTGTCTGCTCTAAATTTCCTGAGCCACATGAACCTGTCTTACAATCACTTGTCCGGAAGAATCCCGACGAGCAATCAATTGCAGACCTTAAATGATCCCTCGATCTACGTCGGAAACAAAGGCCTCTGTGGAACGCCTTTGCCAAAGTGCCCCGGTGATGAAGCTTCTCAAGGTCCAGCTTCTGCAGGAATTCAAGAAGAAGATAACAGTGACAAGCTCGAAATGATACTGAACATTGCTAGCATTGTCATAGGATTCGTGGTTGGATTTTGGGGTTTTGTTGGCACAATGATCGTGAAACAGGGCATGAGGATTGCTGTCTTCCAATGGATCGACAGGATCTATTGGCGGTTGGCAGTAAAACTGGCAAAGCTGAAGCTAAAAGGACAAAGAATGACTTGAGCTGTGGCAAAACATGCTATCTAATTTTACTACTACTGCTAATGGCATGTGTTTCATGGTTTCGTGTTATCATCTTTGGTCCTTTCATATATGCTGCTCATCTGTTTCCAAGTTACATGGTCAAATCACATTCTTCTGAAATCTACATGTGTAGATTAAGCTTCTCATGATGCATTAAGGTTACCAACTTTCGTATGTTAATGTCTTCAGAAGGGCTTTGATGTGATCCAGTGCCTAACTCTTTGTCTGTGGACTACTCTCAACAATTATTTGATTGGAACATGCTCCACCTTCAAGTGCCACTCAATGAGGAGTTTTAGGGTCATGATCAAGCTTTTTTAAGATGTGATGAGTGATCACTCTACCACTACCATAGTCACCAAAGATTTCCACCATCACAGGCAGATACAGAGAAGTACCGACTGTTGTTCCAGTAACCCAAAGTTGCCTTTTGCCTTGTCTCCTCATTAATGGCTGCCTGCACCTCTTCATTACCTTTGAGCTGCAACATGGAATTCTGAAGCATTTCTTATCATGCATTGAGATCTTAATATAGAGAGCATGACAGGTGATTTCCTCATCCCAACACACTTTTTGTGAGGAGTTAATCCTTACATATATACTTTATAACCCTCCTTTTTTAGCAAGGCATTATCAAGAACAGCAAAGGAAGAAGTATCACAATTTGCTTCTTCTAGCAATTGAATAAAGGAAGAAGCATAACAATTCGCACTTTTCTTCTTCAGATGATATATATATATATATATATATATATATATATATATATATATATATATATTGTGTGTGTGTATGTATATATACACGCACACAATTCAATACATATGTCAAGAATGACATTTTTATTGAACTCAAGGTTCTTGTCTTAGTTTCTTGGTCAGCCAACAATGCTTGGATCAACATTTTCAGTGATCACAGGGAATCAGCAGTCAGTTTTTATGTCTATGAACATTCATTTATGTTTTCCTTTTCCTGGAAATTATATTTTGCAGGACCCTCAGAACTTGGACTCATGTGGTGATATTTTACTAAGTATTTGACAGAGTGAAACTTAAATTCACAGGATCAATTATTGATTCTTGTCCACAGACAAACACTGTGGTCCACAGGGAGCAAAGAAAAAAGATGTTGTCATAACCTATACAAGATAACAATGTTAAATAATGGAAGTCAGAGAACAGTACTTCATGTGCATACACCTGTGAATGCACCATTGGATAGCTCTAAGGTGTACAGTTTGGCTTTGTTTCAGCAGATTCCATCCCAGAAATTGTCTGCAACATTAACTTCAGCTATCAGACTGGCCAGCCAACACAATCCAGGCAGAAAAGAATACAATGGCAGGCATCAGCAAAAATGGCAACTGATATTATATTACTTGGTGCTCACTGATTAAGATGTCTATGCTGAAGTGATGATGCCTTTGTAATGGACCTAACAATTCAAATTGTTTTCTGTAGTCTACATGTTTCAAGCCACTTGTCACACATTTTATCATTTCAATCTATCAAACTCTTGAGCTTTTCACAATCTGCTTGGGCATCTTCATAAGTCAAAGCAGACCTACTGCAATTTAATGTAGCTCTTGATCAGTTCTGATAACATGGCACACATATACACACACAGAGAGAGAGAGAGAGAGAGAGATGTTTATGCTTGATACAGATCTTGTTTGATTCCTTGAAGCTCTGAAAACTAATATATGTCTTGATCTTCTACCCAACATACATACTACAACAGACACCATGATAGACAAAGACCAACTCATTGACAAAGCAGTGATAGCAACACTGCAGACACCAACCTCCCTCTCTGTCAGTATAGGAACATATTGCCTACTGAAGCCATGATGGGCTGCTGGTTCATGTACATGAGGTTCCATGGATTGCTAAAGCTATTATTGACCTGATGGCCATCACAGAACAGACCACTGGTGATGGCGGTGTTCCCATTCAAGCAGTGGAGGATCTCACTGAGAGACTGCAGCCTGTTGCCGAGCTCCACCATCTGAGTCCTGAGGACAGAGTTCTCGGCCTCCACAGCCGAATGATGCCGTGTGGTGAGGGTCAAGGATGTCAGGATCCGGCTGTTCTCCTTCCTCAGCTGGTTCAGCTGCGCCGTCAGATCGTCCAAATGTTTCTGCTTGCGCATCCTCGACCGCCTCGCGGACTCGCGGTTGGATATCATTCTCTTTTGCCTCTTCTGGTCCATCAGTGCCTGCAGATCCTCTTCGGAGCCTGACGTCTGGAGCAGGCTGGATCCTGACGAAGTCCCACCGGGAGAAGCCATGGAACACTGAGATCTTTAGCAGTCCTTTAGAGACTATGATGCTGATGCCTCAGGAAAGACTAGATCTTGGGTGGAAATAAGGCTAAATAGTATCGGTATACAAAGATTATTACTTAGAAAAGGATACTAAGAACGAGTCCACGAGAACACATAGAACCAGTAGAGGAAGACAACAGAGAAGGACTGGACGAGATGGGTGCTGCGCCTGAGGGTGGAAGTTATCATAAATCCAGAGAGAAAGATCTCACTGTTGATAGCCAACATAGACTTAGATCGGAAAGATGATGAGAAACCGATGCTGCATGTGAAAGGAAAGGGGAAAAAACGAGAGATTTTAATACACAAAGATGAGATCTTGGAACAGAGAGCAGCACAGAGCGACCCCAGACTTCAGCAGCAAGGTGGATGTGATGCTGAACCCAGAAACAGAATCTCCAGAGAAAATTTTGGCAGAGTTTCCCCAGCAATTCGTAGCAGAAAGGATCCCAAGAACAGGAATCCAGTCGAAGGAGATGCAAAGGAGGGACCTTTTCTACCAACACAACAAGGACAACAGCAAGAACAACAGTATTCAGCTGCAATCCAAGAAAAATCTTCGAGGCAAACCAGCCACTCGAAGCAGGAAGAGGACTACAGAAGAACAAAAAAGCAGCAGCAGAACCTCTTACAAAGCTTAGCAAAGAAGAAGAGGAGAGAAAGAAAGGGAATTGGAGCCTATGAGAGGGGTGGAATTTATAGAACAAGATGGACCAGAGGCATGAAAAAGAACCATTAAGTGAGAGAAGGAAAGGAAGAGAGAGAGTAGTTGAGAGGCTCCACTGCATTTGAAGGGTAGATATGGAATTTTATATTATTATTATGAAAAAAATGAACCAAAGAGATGCAGTTTCAAACTTTTTTCTTGAGTTTTACTATCCAATTGTACAATTAAATGTAACTACTGATAGTTTACTTCCATTAGAACACTTCCTTTCATGCTTTGCCTGTTGGAGAGGAGAAAGTGAAAAGTTCTACCAAGGACACCTTTTGGAAAGCAAATGACATCACAGATAGGCACCCTCAAAGCTACAACAGGTATATTCCTCTCTCAGAAGACAGATCATTCACAGGGCAAGGCTTAGGTTGTGATTCCATTTCTGACCAGAGAGGATTAAATATTACCAGATACTGTTGACATTGTTGATGATGTGAAGCCATGGCATGGAGGTTGGAATAATGTGTGCTAAGAATTATAACCAATATAAAAATCACTCTGTCAGCTGCTTCACACTTCTCTTTTTGCACAGTAATCATCATAGTATCACAGGCATCAATGGAGGAGGAAGGAGAGGTAAATAAGGATGTCTGGTTTTCATAGTCCAACAGATCTCCCAAGGACTGCCAAAGATTGACTACAGGTGTTTGGAAGAGAAAGAAAAGACTTTTGCACAAAAAATCCATTCACTTATTTATTTATCTGAGTATTCAATACATGGCTTTGAATACTTGGATAAATAATTATAAGATATGTTAACTTATTCCTGATAATATTAAGGCAGATGGGGGTTTTCAGATATAGTGATGTCTCAATTGTATGAAGTAAATTTTACATATCCAACAAACATCCAATGTAGGTAGCCAAATACCAAAATGGTAGTAAAGGGAAAGGAATCAAGAAAGGAGTAGAATAAAGATTAAGTTTCCTGGTCATCAAATCACTTAATCAGAAATTTAAGGACCATATCACCCAGTTGAGGGAGGGGCCTGTCCCAATCTTGTTGTGATCTAGAAGTGCACTTGTCATCCTTCTACCAAATTACTCTAGGATAGGATCTTATCCTCTTGATATTATGTTGAAACTCTTGCAACATTAAAATAATAATCCACATCTTAATCTATATGTTGTCATTTGAAAAGATTATCCCAATTAGGTTTGTAAGCAATAAGCACACCCCATAAGGTGTTCATGTTTGGTAGTAAGTTTGACAGTCCATATTGGTATTTTATTGGCTCAATCTATTTTATCTAGACAAAATCACCATGTCTATATAAGTTTCTTGGATTTTTCGGACAATTTGGTCGATTTAAATAGCATTTTCTGTTTATGGATTGCAGACTTGATTATGCTTTGGCCATTGTTTGACCTAAGATTGATGTCTGTTCGATACCATGTCTATTAGCAATCTAATTCCTATGTGTTGCCTACCAACAAGATAAAAGGACTTTGGACAACAAAGAAAGTTTTATTGGTCGCATCTAGGAAACATCTCAGAGAGAGAGAGAGAGAGAGATAAGAGTTGACTGTTGAGCTCACCAATGGAAAGAGAAAAGTAACTGGGACAAGTTATTCATATAGTACAAATGGTCCAAAGCATGCATTATTGAGAGTGATGTTTGTATTCCTGAAATCTCACAAAGATTTGGATGTGTAATGATATAATAAAACTTTCAAGAGTTATCTAATAAAATCTTTAGTTTCAAAAGGTTGAAAAAAAAATATTGCAACATCTATTTTTATCCCTTTCTAAATTTCTATCCCAAGTATCAGTTGTGAAGTAAGGAAGAAAAAAAGTTCAGTGACAGAAACTTCTGAATCTTTCAAGAATGAATTATTTCTACATTTGATTGAGCTTTTGATACTTGTATTCTTTCAAATATCAATCTGTCTCTAATTCTTTATCATTTCATCTTGGATGTAGCAATCATGTTGGGTTGGATCTTCTTCTTTGATGTGGGACACCATTTGATAGACTGGTTTACATTTAACAGACACATACAAATGTTCTTCCATCTTTTTTCTAGTCTCTGAAGGAATGAGACATTTTGTGGAATGGAAACATTAGCTTCAACATATGATTCAGAAATCTTGCATTGGATCTGAGGCTAAGAATGCTTCATGGAATAATAGACACCAAAGCATCATTTGCAATTTTTTATGCTCAACCAAGAAAAAAAAAGGAAATTTATTTTCCTTTTTCTTTCCCTTCAACATATTTGAAATGTACAAAAGAAAACAAAAAAAGAGGTAAAGGAGAAAGAAAATAAGAGATGCAATATGTAAATCAAATTTAGGACCAAAGTACAAGAACTATCAATAACACTTTGAGTGGCAGACGCATCTTCCCGGCAAACATCAGCATCACCTCCAGATTGTTTCGTCCTCATGGTCTATAGCGTTTACATTTCTCAATCCACCATGCGGTAAAATCAAATGGGGGACCTTCCTGTGCAGTCAGCAATTGCAGGAGTGGACATGTTGATCGCCCACATGTTTCTGTCATCTCCGGTACAGTGCATGCACTGTGCACCAAGTCTACTCCTCTATGGAATTCCTTCTCCTTCCATGGTTGTTGTCCTCCTCCATCTCTTTCAGGATGGAATGATCAAATGCTCAATGCATTTGTGATGACGAAAACCTAGAAAACTCTGGCCACTCGATCATCGTAGGCAAAAGGATATGTTGGTTTTCCCTGCTTTTTCTCATCTTCCTTCTCTTGGAAAGCAGACATGACCACCACTAAATATGATGAAGCTAGCTTTTGCTGCATTTTGTGTCATCAGATCCCACTTGCTTCTTATCACAGAAGATAAAGCCTTTCATTGTATCTTTTATCAACATCTCATCCTATAAAGACTGCCTGCATGCATACTATCTTCTTTATCACTAACCTTTTGGCAACAAGCATGACCACCTCCAACTCACCTTCCACTGGAAGCAGTGACCACCATGCATGCATGTGCTCCACAGTGGGAGAGCCACAAGACCTGCACGAATCAGCTCTTGCAATTGGTCGTGCATGGGAAAGCCATCGTACCCAATGCAGTTTCGGAAGGGGAAAAGAACAGTACAAAGCTTAATGGTTAAGATTTTGGGAGAGAACGTGAAAACCATGTAGCATAGCCATATATATGCTCATCACAGTCTCCCCTCAACAATACAGCTTTAAATACCAAGATCTACTGACTGTGGCTTTCATCTGTTATCGAGATTGGATCATTCGAAATGATACGAATTCATAGGTGCTTCTGAACGAACCTTTTATCCTCTTCTTGTGCTTTGTTCTGCTCATCATATTGCTGATAACCCTAATAAAAACAAACCATAAGATCAAAACAGTAGTTTTTGGATCACTCGTTCACGGTTGATTTAGCATGGATGGGGAAACCTATAACTTTTGCTACAGTATATAAGTAGTTGTTGTGGCTCGGAGTTGGACGTACATTATTTGTAAGGGTCAACTTCATGTTTTTATTCTCTCTGCCACTCTTCTTCCTCTTATCATTTTCCTTCTTCTTTAGCTTTTTCTGCTACCTTTATACGTGGGTGGTGCTGCTCCTTCCTTCTTCTTCTTCTCTTTTTTTATTTGTCTTTTATTTGTTTTAGCATTGAATCCCAAAGAATAAAAACGTTATGTAAGTAAATTATTATCTTTGTTATTTTTTTATTATTTAATAGTTATTTATGCATGATGAAATGAGTTCTCGTTGAAAATAGTTTTTCAAAAGTTAACTGGTATTTATTCCTTCACATTGAGATGAGCATTGAATCTGGAAACTATCATAACCAGTTTTACCATAAAAAAAAAATTGCAAGGAAACTCTTACATTTTAGTAGAAATGAGAGAAATTAAAGAAAATAAGAAAAATAAACTGTTAAGAAGTAGAATAATCCTTAAAAATATTAAGAAGAACTGTTCGGATACGATTAAAAATATCATGTAAATCTGAAGGGTGGTTTGGTGAAACTAAAAAAAATGGAATAAAAAAATAAAAAAGCATGTAAATCTGAAATATATATAAATTGTATAAATTTAAAAATTTGTTATAGAAGTTCATTTGGTTGGAATTAAAAGCTTTTCCCTAAATATCAAAGCCTTTGGACTACTAATTAAGGTTGATACTATGATTTTAGGATCAAGCCAAAATCACCATATCCAAATCCAAAAAATACTACAAATAATAATAATAATAAAATTCAAAATATATAAAGAAAATTTAAAAAACATAGACTACGCAGAAAATTCAAAAATCATATACTTTTTAGATTTTGGGATCAAACCAAAATTAGGGTATCGAATACTAGTTGATTTTTTTGGATTAATTTTTTTATCACACCTTTAGAACATATTTATAAGCTTAATTGTCAAAAAATGTTACATAAATGTATCATATTTTGATGGAAATAAAAAAATATGATAAAAATTAAAAAAATCATAGATTGTGCAAATTCTGAAAAAAGAAAAATATCAAAAAAATTATAAATTAGAAAATATATCATAGAGGTCCATTTGGTTGCAACCGAAAGCTTTCCTAAAAATTTTATATTATTTGGATTATTCTTTGATATTGATACTCTGATTTAGGATCATAGCTCCCGGACATATTTATAAGTTCAAATGTCAAAAAATATTATACAAATCTATTGTAATTTGGATGAATCTAAATTTTTACCATAGCTTGTGCTATAGTGTTATGGAAATGTTATATGCTTATTTATCTAATAATCTCATTATAGGGATAATCCACAGCTGAATTATTTTTCTATTCTTAATTTGATTGATATTAAGAGATTAGATGATACATCAAAGAGATTGTTAAATAGGTCTGATTTTGAAACTCGTATCATAAACTTGAATGATCTATTTTATTATGATGAAAATAATAATAGTAAAAGTGTTGATATCTTTGAAAATGAATTGGATGAAGAAAAAATAAAGGAAGAGATTGAAGGTGTCATTAATCCTAATATTTATGATGCATTAGATGTTGTTGTTGAGCAAGTTGTTTTAAGTGAGGACATATATGATAATCTTCAACAAGTGTTTGTTGAATACAATTGTAGCCAAGATGATGCTGTGTTAATAACACCACTTCCTTGCGCTGAAGATGATGATTGTTCGTATGATGATCTTTTTGTTGGCCAGGGTATTACAAAGCCTCTAAAATTATTTTATCATATTTTTTATACATACTATTTTGTAATTCAAATAATATCTTTATGTAAGTATTTTGAGATAGAGATGAATTTCAAAAAGTCTTGAAAGACTCTAATTCAAAGAGACTTTGAGATCAAACATATTGCAACTTAGTTTTCGATTATCAATAGATGATAGTAGCTCGTGGTGGAACTGATAATTTTAGAATTATCTAGTTCCATAAAGAGTATGAATATAATTTGTTAAGATTAAATTGGGAAATACAATAGTACTTTCATTGCAGATCAAATCAAAGATTATGTTATGATAAATATTGATTATACTTTGAAGATGATTATTATCGATATAGAAAATACGTATGTACGTATGTATGTATATGTGCATACATACATACATACATACATACACTCACCCCTCCTATTTTATGGTCAGGGGAGAGGTGGGCAAATGTTTACTACTAAGCATGAACAATATTTTCGTCAACAGAATCTACGATGCAAAAAGAAACAATGTTAAATATTTCACTTTCGTAAATATAGAAATCGTAATGTAATTTTAAAAAATATAAAAATCGAGATACTAAAAATAACTAATTAAAAAGGATAATTTATAATTGGTTCACCAATCATACCCAATTCTTGAGTTGGTTCCAAAATAATCGTTTCAAATGAGTGGAGTTGATAAATATGTCTACTTAGATATATCAAAACTGAAAATTATATTATTCTCACTACTATCTGTGAATATAAGTTTGTTTATCTCCTGCTAAATATGTCTGCATTGAAGCCACAAAATACTGAACAGCTCATACAAAACCAATATTAGCACATGGCCATACACTTTATTCTCATATATCAAATAAATGTGGATGAGGAACAACAAATTGGCCAGTTAACTACTTGGGGCCAACTGCCACAAGTAAATGCTAAGTGAATCAACCAAATGAAGCACACTATTAAAACAAATATAAAGATACATCTCAAGTTATAATAAACACTTCACTTGGTTCAGAGAATAAATTGAAGAAATCTTACAATTAGATGCTGACATATACCGCAACCAAAATGGAATGTAGTTTGTTGAATCACAACAAGCGATCTGAATTATTGTTTGGCAAGCATCTCACTCTCCTTCGCTCAGGATTGGAACAATCAGAGGTTTCAGCTGCGCAAGATAGACAATTGCCCACCTGACAGGAAAATAAATTGGTAATCATTCATAAAACTAATGATTGGAAATTTCACCAGTGAGGTAACAATAAGATCGATAAGACTTTTGACATTTTCACTTGGTAAATTGCTTGGCAAACTCAACTACCATTTTGACATTAAATTTAACTGGGAACAATAAGCTGTACACTCTCGCAAAGCATCAGACACCTTTAATGGGTGATTGCCAAAAAGAGGAGAAAATAGAGATAAACCTCATCTCTTATGCAACATAATAAATCAGATGTGATGAAAATCCCATGACAGATGTAACAAGATTATAGTATTCCCTGTAGTCATGCTCCTTCCTGAGACATTTTGAGTCATATCCTACTTCCAAAAGTTTACGTTCCTAACACAGGATTTGGATGTTTGGCCCTGATGCAACCTACAGTTAGCATAATATCTTTGCTCGAGGTCTAAGATTCAATCAATTAGTCTTTTGATTAAGTCAGTTCCAGTCAAATGGCACTTGGCATAAAATTTCATATTATCACTATAATTTTTTTAGTGGGTTCTCATTGCCATCAAAGAGATACTCCTAAAATTGATAGCGTTACTTAATTTCTTCTTTTCAAAATATATAAAGTTAGGAAACATGAATTCCTTTGAATATGACAAATTTGTAATGTAGATCACAACTATTATTTAAAGAAACTTTAATGCGTCATCTAAGGATTATATACTCGGATGGGATCAAGATTGGCAAGAAAATATTTTAAAAATAAAATAATAAAGTAACAAAAATGGAGGGAAAAAGACTTCCACATTATTGGTTAAAATCAGTTAGGTCCAAACTTAGGGCCTAGCTAAGCACCTAAGAGGTTGCAGCCAACAAGAATGGAGTTGCTATTGACTGGATGAAAACCTCCAATGGCAGGGCTATGATCATGAAGAACTTTATTGCATGGTTACAAAAGATTCTCTTACGTACATCTCCCATGATACACTAGTAATTTACTGGTAGCTTTATCTACAGAGGTAGCTTTATTGGTACCAGTTGCAACCCTTCAGTCTAGACTAAAAAGACCAGAATACACAAGTAATTTACCCAACAGGAAATTTAATACTTGTAACATCCAACAATATTCTAAATCACTTGTGCGGTTACATTTTGCATGCTAATTGAACACAAAAATTGAACATACACAAGTGTATATCCCATTCTAAGAAAAAGAATAAAGTGTACATCAAAGATAATTCGTAGCCATTATGAATTATATGTTCAGACAGCAGAAATATAAGGTGTGAGGCTGTTACATTGTTACAGTAAGCTATCTGGCTGGCCTTTGGATCTTAAATTAGTGATTCAGTATATGTTGATATTATCATATTAGAAAATATTAATGTTTCATGTGGTCAATTTTGATGTAGCTAATTCCTATGAAATAGACACTTTTAAGCTCATCAAAACTTTCTAAATTCTGAATTCCACAATTTTCAAACGTACAGTTCAGCTCCCCTTAGGAAAGTTCTTTGTATACTTCTGATGATATTTTTATCGGTTAATGCAATATTGATAATTTCTTTCAGTAGAACCAATTCTTAGCAAGACTAAGATATTATGTAATAACATGGAAGCAAAATATCTTGTTATAGATCACATGGAAGCAAAACAAACCTAGAATCACCAAAGATTGTAATGAATTAAAAAGAATGCCACAAAGCCATAGCAATAAGAACTTACATCATCCAAGAGCAAACTGTTGCTGTGATGATCAATGTTAAATGAAACCTGCACAACCAAATTGTTAGAATCACTTCACATTTTCACTAACAAAAATGATAACCAACAGCAATATCTGACATTGAACTAGAAATTATTATGACAACAGATTATACCATCACCTATCATGCTAGTAATCACCCTAACTAAAAGTAGCTCCCAATCTACCTTCCAATGTTGGACTGGCAGCTAGAAAGTGTTTGATACCAAAGGTTGGTCTTTCAGTAAGTAAATTTGTGAACATCAGGATTGCATCTGAAATCCCCACTATATAAATGATTTCCTGTTATCATAGAGTGAACAATTAATACTACATTTCGGGTCATTTTTTATGTTTTCGAATGCAAACTAGAATTAGATTAGTTGCAGAGTTGAAGCAAATGATGTCTAAAAGTCAAGTGGGCAGAGATGAGGGGATTTAGAGTTCAATAGGGTCTTGAAGCAGGACTGGATTGATGGTCACTATAGATTATATCAGTGGCTGCTTTTCTTTCTCTGAAGCCTAATTTGTTCAAACCTAACTCGATTCATTAAGAAATAACATGGCTGAGCTGGTGAGTGGAAGAAGGGAAGCATTGTAGCTATTTTTTCTTTTTCTAGGTATTCATAAAATTAAGTCAGATAGGTGGAGTCAATATCCTTCTTAATGCTTTGCTGCAACAATATTTTTATTTCAAATGTTATTTTTTTTTGTCTGAAAATATCTCTTGCAAAAAAGTCTAAAGAAGCCTTTCCCTTTATGCTCTACTCATAATCTTGCCCACTTGACATCTACACTTCTATCATTCTCAGCATAAAATATTATCTATACTGCAAGACATTGCTAATATATCTATCATCTGTAATTTAAAAATCAGAAATCAGCTCATTCAAACTCAGTGATGAAAATCCAAGCAATGAGGTTCCTTCAAGAATTTACTAGGAAGTCCTTGTTCTGGTTAACCTATACCTTGAACTTTTAATGAAATAACACAATGATTATTCGTCATTATTATGTTTTTCAGGCATCTTGAGTCGAAGAACCATGTTCTGACAATTAAACTAGAATATAACATCATATATCTTATGGCATTTTAAATAAACTAAAATTATATGATTAGATCTTCACCAATCAAATAATAGAAGGGTAAAGAAGCCTCCTAAAAAATATGGTTGGTTAATGATAAATTGCTTTCCTAATCTAACTTTCCTTCTACAATATCAATAATATCCTAAATATTAGGGCCCAAACTATGAAAACATTGGACTACCAAACTTGGATCTTGTAGTCATTTTCTATGGTTAGTTGACGAGGACAATGATTCCCAATTTGCTTCTGTCGTAAGTGATCCATCAGAATGAGGCATGAAAATCTCATATAGGAAGATTAGCAAATAGTGGTGCCAATTTTTCATGGATGCTGAGCTTGAAGAACCTAAAGATGATGCAATCATTGTTATGTTAATCCTTTTTCTAATGTACAGGTTTCAGGTTGTCCAGACAGATCCTTACAAGGCTTGATGCCCGCAAAAGGGCTGAATGGACTGATAATTCAAGGCTCAGATTAATATTAATTGAGATCAGTTAAAGCACCATCAGTTGAGCTAAATTAGTCTCAAGAATTGAATTTAATCTGCACCTACGATTGGGCGTAAATAGACACCCATTGGTAAAAGGATGAGCACTTAATTCAGAGAAAAAATTAGAAAAAAAATGAACATAAGCAATACCAAAGAAGATTCGGATATTTCGACTTAAGAACACATAATAACCTTTTTTTACCATTTAATGTGGTTCTTTGACTACCAATGGTGCCCAGACTTGCTGACAATCACACCAAATCCTCTAAATCAACCAATACCATTGAAAAGTGCAAGAATCTTCAGATCTTTTTGCACAACAAAGACATTGATTGTAGAAAAGGGCGGTCCAGTACATAAGTCTCCTACTATGGGGGCCTGAGGACGTCAATTTATGGAGATCAAAACAAATTTAAAAAGAGACTTTTCCGAGACTTTTCGATAGAAATCATATCAGAGACCTTTCAGATTCAACATGCAAGACAAAAATACAAGCGATACCAGCATATCAGGTAAAAAATTCCATGGATCTCCATCCGTAGAAAGGAACGAATCGAGAATTTTGAACAAGTCCGTTGCCAAACGCCACGAAACCCCTAGTAACCAAGAAAGAGGAGGAATTGAAGCAATGACGTACAGATTGGTGGAAGGACCACGGTTGCAGCAGAGGCGCACCGAGACAGAAGCGACAACGCCCACCACAACGAAGATGATGGTCGTCATCAAGAACCCCATCGGACAACCTTCTTTGATGCTTCGATCTCCTCCGCCGCCCCCGCTTCAACCTCTCGCTCGCTCTCTCTCTCTCTCTCCCTCTCTCCTCTGTAATCGGGATGGATGGGCTGTGATGTTTTGTCGTCTCTTTTCCCACTCTTTTCATGTGCACAAAATAACGTGCTTGGAGGTCCGCGATCGTTGGAATGTGCGTCGTACGGACCCCCGATAATTTATCGGATCTGGGTTTGATGTGACCGGATCCGAGTCCGATAACTGAATACTGCTAGTCGGAGTTTCAGGTTACGATTTACGACACGATCTATCAGCCGATGACAGGACCGTCGCGCCCATCAAAAAGTGCACTGCCACACCGCCGCGTCCACTAGTCGTAGTCAAAGTGGTAAATAAAGATTTAAAATACACGAACTTGTTTCCTCCGGCGATCCTCCATCAAGCCCTAGCCTTTCCCGCCGCTCCCATCTCTCTCGGTTCTCCCGCGACCACGGGCGATCGATAGGTGGCAAGAATAAGAGGCGCAGCTGCAGGAGAAGCGGCGACCGCTAAAGGTGAGATCTTTCTTCTTCCCAGTTCGTTTTGGACGTTCTTTTCCCGACGACGCCCAATCCTGTTGCTGAGTGAACCTACTCCTTACATCGCTCGAATGGCTGAAACCTTGAGCATTACTGATTCCATAAAAATAGAACGTGATCATGGATCTCAGAGTGGTGAGTACAGGTTCGATGTATGTCTTCGAACAAGGGCCGAATTTGACTGTGACATGCTGATCGTGGCTCTGCCGCAGGAAGTGATGATCATGCTGTTTTAACCAGCCTGTATCTATTGATTTCTCGGTGATAAAGGACAAGATTTTTGTGTGATGCTACTGCTGGTAGTACATATTTGTTCCTGAAAAGGATGGTGTGAGGATGCAATGGATGTGGAGCATGTCATCTTTACTTGGATTTCTTTGAATGTTTTGTTGTTATTTCTTCCTAGGACATGTTAAGTCTAAATTGAACTATAATTTCAAGTTCTTTTGTTTCGATGATTGTAAGAACCCTAGAAGAAGGTCAGGGTCTTAATAGAATCTCTTCTTCTGAACTTACAGGACCTGTTGTTAACTCATTTTGGCTCATTTGGATGTATCGTGATGAATGGCTATTCTGCAACCGTCAAGTCCAACCATTCTCCATTTAGTGCAGACCAAGGGTTAGAGTTTGTATCGGAGTGTGATGGCCCTTTTAGTCCTAACTATGAGAACTCTTGCTTGACTATATCAAGATTTCTTATGGACACATCATTATTAGCAGAGCATGCGATCCAATCCAAGCTGAGTGCAAAGCCATATCTGTTGATCTTGTCCATGCTGCACATGACGGCTTCCAAAGGATATGGAGCCACTCAAGCTCGTTACAACTTTTCAACTATCGGAATAGTTCCAATGGAGTCCCATGAAATTTGAGATGCATTTTGTCCAATTGCTATCATTTAGCTGAGTGTTAAGCACATTGTGTGGCATATACTTGCTAATGTTTATTAGAATTAAAGAAGAGTCTCAGAACTAGGGAGGTGAATCCAAATCATATTGCAAAATCTTTTGTACGAATGATATACTTAAAGAAAAAGAATGGAATGAAATTTATTTTTGGTAAAGAAATGAAAGAGAGATTTGGGAACTGCTTTGCTTCTGCTCTTGCGTATATAACCAACTCAGTTTCTGCTTCTTGCCTTTCAGGTACCATTAGACACTGACAGAGCAGGCATTCCAGAAAATCCAGTTAAAGAGGATGTGAAAGAAGCTTTACCTAACATCTCGGAATCTGTCAACGAAACCAGCGACGCCTATTGGAACGCACAACAACAATGTAAAGGAGAATGTAGTACCTATTCAAGAATTCATAGACAAGAAAATGTGTTTCTCAGTTGTCACAGAGTTCCGGTGATAAAATTCTTAGCGAGCATGTTGGGACAGCTTTGATGGATAAAACTAAGCAAGTCCAAAGTTCCTAGCGGAAGCAAATAGCAGGAGATTGGAAAAACTAATGGCAGAAAGAAATTATAATTGTTGATTTTGTTTGTGTGTGTTGGAACACTGATGCCTCAATATGTGTTTTCCACTTGGGATTAGGTGAGACAAGTATCTAAAGAAATGCCTCAATATGTTGGTCTGAAACTTGAATGTATTACATGAGATCTTGCTTATTGAAAATTTGACATGATATCTAACACTAAAACACAGTTATGTTTACTGGCTAGTTTTTGTTTATGAGTGTTTCAATTTAGAACAATTGTTCTGATGGTTATGAATGCTCAATGATTGTATGCACTTGCTGATCGATCGCATAGCCTCCTGAAAGGTTTCCATAGTCGATGAGATTATTAGCATAATTCCTGGTCAAACTAGATAAATATATGATTCCATGTTGGTTGCCTTTTGCTATGGTTAATAGACAAAGGAAGCTGGCTCAGGTTCCACTGGAAATTGTCACAAGTTTGATTTGAATTACTACTTGCAGGTGTACTCTTCTTGATTTATAATATATGACATCTTGCATATGAGATGTTTTATTTTTGGCTAATGGTCCTTACTACTAGTAAGGATTGCAATTCTATTATTATTGTTGCTAGTTGTAGTTGTAGACCTGACATACATGATTTCGATTGTCGACGTCGGGCTAAAGGGGGTTCGGTCAATGATCGATTTTGACCATTAAATTGTTTTCGTAGAATTTGTTTGTTCGATTCTAAATCGAAGCCGAATTATCCAAGTCTGGTCCGGTTCGATTTCGAACCGATGAATCACCAAGCTGATTCTAATTTCGATCTGTTTCGGTTCGAACCGAACCGAACCGTGACCGTGTCCACTGGTGTCGCGTTTATTATAACAGTCAACAGAAGGGCCCTGGTTTTACTGGAGGCCATAACGAAACGGGGATGCTGCAACAGGCGTCGGCGGCCACTGAATCGGCTGCTGCGGCAGAATCCGGAGAACCGCATCCCCCCGACTCAGATCCCTCATCGGCGATACCCCTGCCGCCGTCGGATGGGGGGGCAGCTGCACCCCTCGTCGGCCTCCCAATCGTGCCTCTCGTCCGCCTCATGGGCGCCGCCGCCGCCTCTCTGGTCGTCACCTGGGTCGTCCGTTTCCGCGGCGGACTTGCCCTGAACTCCGACAACAGAGATCTCGTCTTTAACGTAACCGCTTCCTTCTGTCCCTTTGCTTACCTCTTTTCATTTGCTGTTGCCTAATTGAGTTGTAATTGCAAGAGATGCTTCAAGGCGTAGATTAGTATTGCCAAGAACTAATTTGAGATTTTTCTTAGTTTTAGGGAGCACTGTATGCCGAGCAATTGGTTTCTCGGAACAGTAAAAGAACTTTCATCGTTTCAGAGGACAAAGAGCAACTATTATAGTTAGTTTATTGCCCTTGTTCTTGGGCCGTTATTTCATTCTGTTGTGAGTTAATGGACTTTCTGAAGTTGAACTACAAGGAGAATTTTGTTTAGCTTTATAATTCTTATTGAGTATGGTCAGGAATGCCAGATTATTATAAAACACTGTAGTTGAGTAGTAACCTTTCAGATTTTTTTTTTACTTTGTTTTTTCTTGTAATTACTCACCAACATGGTTTTCTAAGTTGTTTGAAAATTCGGTTGGTTTTGCCACTTTCAATATAAAGCAGGTGATGTTGGTTAAGTAGTCTAAAAGTTGATTGATTATTCTTTTTATACTGAGTTTACTATTAAGACACTCCACTGGCTTGGGCTTGTTTTTGTTATTTTTTTGAAAAAGGAAAGAAACTATATTAGATTAGCTAGAGCTACAGAAATGGGAGGAAGTGACATCCTCCAAGGAAGACCAAAAAGGGGTACGGCCATTTGTTTCCTGGCTTTGACTTGTTTTTGTTATGAAATAGACTGGATTCTGAGTGACCAACCATTATTTGAAAGAGACTGGAAGATGCTCGAAACAAATATAGGTTTAGGGTTTCTACTTGATTCTACTTGCATGATGAAGGTATATTCAATCCATTAGAGGGCCCAATCCACAAATATGATTGAGAACTGATGGTTATTAAAATTATTGGAGACATGAAATGTGGATTTTCAATATTCCATAACTTCGAAAACACTTTGGACTTATTGTTTCAACTCCAACTTTTTATCTTGCTGGAAATATACAAAAACCTGATATGAATGGAGTCAAATCAGCACTAACTAAAAAAAGGGGGTATTTTGAAACTTTTACTTAATAGTTTATGGTTCCAAACCTTTTCTGTTATTTGTTGAGCAAATATGTTTCTCACCATATGGTTCTACTTCTGCACTAAGCCTAACATGATTTCTTCGACCCTCCATGATTTTGTGCAAGATGATTAGTATACACAATTAAGTGTTGTTCACTGTATTATACTTAATAAATTGAAAGATAATGATGGGTTTTGTAGGTTCATCCTGTACTAATGGTGATTGGATTCATACTTTTGTATGGTGAAGGTATCAATTATTCCTCTTAATTATACACTTTTTATTTTAAATAGATCAGTTTCTTGCAGTTGTTTTAAGTCTTGTACACAGTCTCTGAATGTGTTTAGGTAAGTTATGTGATTCATCTCTTGCTGTAGTGCATGCCAGTGAAATTCTAAATTTGACTACTAACATAATCTGAAGGGTTTTTAGCATCTTTGGGTGTGTACGAAAGATGCCTATTCAACTGTTCCTAACATTTTCTGCATTTTAGGTCTAACAATTGGTGTGGTATCTATGTGCATCTTCGTTTTCAATTTCTCTTTGCTCAAACTTCTCTATATTCTATTTAAGGTGATGGACGATGATAAGCTGTAGAGTTACGATATCACTTATAATCTTTTGATTCTTTTCCCATGAGTTTTGAATATTGACAGAAAGTTGAATGTAATTAGATAAGTTGTATATTGTGTTATTTATGAATTTATCCATTTGATGGCTGAAATGATAAGATGAAACTCTCATCTTATAGGAGTTAAAATTCTGTTGGCTAATTAATACAAAGTAGAATAGCTAAATCGATTCAAGCAACTTAGACCTGAAAGGAAGCTCAATGGACAGGATACAATGACTCGCAGTTATATCCATCTATATCAGGTCCCTTTTTGGACTTGATATATTTGAGATCTTATAATAGGAATGCCATTATGATGGGTAATGGATCAGATCTTTTGGTGGTATATGACTCTTTTGGGTCCTTGTTTCCTGATCAAATAAAGTCTACTTGTGGAACACTACTGACCAATTTGCATGTACGTGTCTCAAAGAATACAATTGTTTTTACCCTTCATCATGATTTCCACTTCCTAGACAGTTATATTTTCATGTTTTAGTGCTGGGTTTTTCTTTGGTTTGTCTAAGTTTTGTTTTATTCCAGTTTCAGCTCTCAATCTTTGGATCACAAATGCAAATTGCATGATAGCCACTTTACTTTTATTTGCACAGATTTACACACATCATTTATGCTTGTAACTCTGAGGAAGGGCAACATTCTCTTTAACATAATGAAGGATCTGTAGATTCTGTATAAGTATATGCCCCATTTTTTCTCTTGTATTTCTGATTGTCTTCGTAGCAAAAAAAAAAAATTTATGTAATCTCTTTTGTTGTTTTCTATATTGATTATTCTTGCTGCAACTGATCACTTGTATCCTGGTAATGGCAGCTATATTAGCATACAAGACATTATCAGGAACCAAGAATTTTAAAAAGGCAATGCATCTTACAATACAGTTCCTTGCCCTATGTTTGGGCTTCATTGGTGTATGGGCTGCCTTAAAGTTCCATAACGGCAAGGGCATTGACAACTTCTACAGTCTGCATTCTTGGTTGGGCCTGACATGTCTTCTATTATTTGGCATTCAGGTGCTTCAACTGTTCCTTATACCCAAATGTTTCTTGGCTTTATTTTATTGTTTCTCCTAAGTGACAGTACCTTCACCTCTGTGCAGTGGGGCATTGGATTTGCTACCTTCTGGTATCCTGGGGGCACAAGAAACGGCAGAGCTTTTCTGCTTCCATGGCATGTATTCTTTGGTTTATATATTTATGCTCTTGCTGTGATTACTGCCACTACCGGCCTCTTAGAGAAGGCTACCTTTCTTCAAAGTAGCAGCATAGTATTACGCTACTCGAACGAGGCTTTCTTAATCAACTTCTTGGGTATTTTGATTGTGGCTCTCGGTGGCTTTGTTGTTTTTGCAGTCATAACTCCTGGATCTGTCAAGCCTGATGCATATATAGGAATTCAAGAATAGGAAAAGGTTAGGAGTTCTTTTTTTCGTTGGCATGGAATATAAATTAATTTTCTACATAATTACGATGAACTTTTTCCTATCTGAGAGTAGATATACTTGTGTCAGATTTTCTATCAAGCAGTGTGGAGTCTTCTTTTTCTTAACAGTTACATGTTTGACTTTAATGTTCAGAAGTTATATATGAAAATTGGTGCAGGAATTATATCTATCCATATGGTGCTCTTTGGTGTTTGATTGGTCCAGTTTTTCTGCTAGCATCTAATTTTATATCACACTTGCTCTGGAAGAAATCATTTTTGCTTACTTTGAATTACTTTACATGTGATCCTAAATTTAGATTCCAAAGTCAAAAGAAGAGTTCTGGGGAACTAATTTGAAATTTCATAGTGAACAAGGACGAAATATTTGAGTTTCTGATGGATCATGACTAGAACATTTATGTTACTAGGTTTTGCCAAAGAAGAGCATCAAAGTTTGTCATGGTCTAATGTTTAAATAATCACCAAGTTTTGTGGAGGCTTGGAGTCAGTCAAGATAACATTTACCTCATTGCTTAGGAAACACTACAAATGCAGTACAAATTCGAAGGCACGATTGCTTTTCTTCCTGGTTTTTTGGCTGTACATGTATTTTAGGTATACAAGCGTGCCTGTAGGTTTCACTTGACTGAAATTAGTTTGTTCTGTCCAAATGTTTTGGCCTGTTGGTTGAAATAGTGAATGACAAGCACAAGCTTTGTGGCAGGAGAACTTAATGTAGAAAGGCTGAGGACAATAAAGTTTGTGGGCCAAACACAATTAATGCAATCAAATAGAACATATTCATGTTGTACTCCAAACCCTGTTCCTTTTTAACTGCAAAATGAAAGAAGGCTTGAAAGAGGAAGGCCTTAGAGCTGTTCATACTGTCATCAGATCTTTTTGACAAGGAGTTGGCAGCAGTGCAAACAGATATAAACTTGAATGAGATTGCTAAATAGAGGGAGCTGATCCACATCTTGGCTGGTTCAAAGTTGTATATGCACACCACATAGGTGATTGATTACCACTTATATTCTTCCCTGAACTATTTATTTCATTTCTGAGTCTACCAAGACCTTACCATCCTGATAAAACTTGGTTTTGGGGTAATCTACTGGTTATTGCAAAGAGATAGTGCCAAATAACATTCTGACAATACATTTAATAGCAAGAAGATGTGTAAGACTAGAGGTTGTAGCTGCCATGTCCTTCAAGTGAAACACACTGTTAGGTTTGGGTAGGTCCATGTTGGATAGACATGCTCATCCTGAGCCCATGTGGGAAATGGGTCCTTCTTTTTGCTTGTGACCAAAAGCTCAGCTTTGACATTGAATTGTTGACAGTGCAAGATTGGACTGGAATGGTACTTGTCATTTGTCTTTGTATCTTTGCACTTAGAGGTTTGCTCATAATGAGCTGATGCTGACAATTAATACACATGCCATGATAGCTGGAGGAGAAGCAGCTAGCAAACTATTCAAACTCTTATGTTGCTATGTGATAAGACATTAAAATGCATTAAATGAAAGAGGAAGCTTTGATCTTAATGATTCTGATCTACCAAACCAAACAAGCTATGCTTTTGTTACTTTTTCCTTTTTCTTCTCTACAGGAAGATGGGATGAATAACTTATCAAATGCATTACTGAAAAGAGTGCAAGATAAATGGAAGAAGAAACTGATTTCTCAAGCAAACCTAAGCATTCATGGAACTGATACAAGAAGCTGCCACCTCACTTAGGAAAAAGTTATAACTGGTTCAAACAAAACCCACCTTGATGTTTTACTTTTAGCACATACAGATCTAAAACAAGATAGATAATATATAGTGGAAGAGAACAACCAAAGCAAAAAAGACACACTGAGAAATTGAGAAAGTAACAAATATAGTAAGATTTTCTTCTCTTTCATATTTATAATATTTTTAAAAAACAATATCTTAAAAAATTTAAATGTCTTTGTCAATAAATAAGGTGTAGAGGGTATCTTAATCTTTTAAACCAATCTAGAATTTTTATCCATCTTAGTCCTATAACTATGATCACAGGGAAGACCATATGCTACAAGATGGACTCTTCTGGTCCTACAGAAAGTCTATCATGTCACTGTAAAGCTCCATTTCTAGGATATGTTCAGGAGCTGTCCTTGTAAGCAACAAGGGTCCCATAGAAACCAAGTGGGGGGATGATGAGTTCTTCTTGTTCTTTAAGTTTCAGTACTGACCAAGGTGGTCCTAAGAGTCTCATCTTGCTCTTCTTTACCAAATTAATATGATTAGCTTGTTATTGTTGCTGTATTAATAATTATGGAATGATCCCATTATTTCTATATATAATAGAAACAGAAAGCTTGTTCTCCATCATTTCTCTATTGCAAGAGCTGTCAGATGTTGAGACTAGTAATTCTTGTCCCGATTCACTTATTACACTGATGATTTTGTCCATAATGATCATTTTTTATCACTAATAACTATAGTAAACATATGCTCAGTGTCTTCTTATATTATAAGCACAAAATAATATGCAACTCTCATCAAATTAGTGTCATAAAGCGACAAATGCAGAGGAACTGAATTGGGATGATATCAGAACTAATGCATAGGTTTCCATGGCAAACATTAAAGCACTTGTTTAGCATCTCGAAGCTTGAAGTCATTTCATGTACAAAACTTATCCCCCCATCACTAAACTCCTCAGCCATCTGCGCTTCTAGCAAGCTGTGGAGCGTGGGAACGGCGAGGCCGACGGCGGCCTGCCGATGACGGCGCGAGGAGTCGCGGTGGCGGCGGTGGTCACGCGCTCGCACCGGGGGCACATGGTCAGGGACGAAGCCGGCAGCCGCTGGCGGGTATGGGGGGAGAGCACGGTGGGCGGGGCCACCCGCAACGCCCGCAGCTCCTCCACCTCGCGCTGCAAGCGGCGGTTCTCCTCCGTCAGCGACCCGAAGCACCGTTTCAGGTACTCGCACTCCATCTCCGTCTGCTTCAGCTTAGTCCTGCATCCCCAAGCGATGCTCATTAACTCCCGAGTCGAAAGAGAACAAGGCGGAGGGGATTCATGACTCACCTGGCCCGGCGGTTCTGGAACCACACCTCCACCTGGCGCGGCCTCAGCTTCAGCTTCATTGCCAACGCCTCCTTCTGCTTCTGCCGTTTCGTTCATTTACGTCGTCATTACATCACCCAGAAAATGGCAACAAAATGCGCATTAATCGCAAGGCTTTCAACAAGCAGGCACTCTTATTGCATCCATCAGTATGAAGTTGAGAAGAAGATGGCCAGAAATTACTACCACGAAAGCACAGAACGCTGCATGCAAAGAATAAGAGAGGAGGCTTACTGGGTTCAAGGTGTGATGCTGCCTAAAACTCTCTTCCAGCAGCCTCGACTGCTCCTTGGAGAGCCGGAGCTTCTTGGGCCGGGGGTTCCCACCCTCCTCTTCCTCTTCTTCTATGCTGGCCATGGGGTACTCCTCCTCCCCACCATAAGCTGGCTGGTTTATGTCCAGGTCTCTCATGTTGCAACCTCCCCCTCCTGAGAGCCCAAGAAATGCAACAACATATCACATTCCACTGATACAGAAGAAGAAGAAGAAGAAGAAGAAGAAGAAGAAGAAGAAGAAGAAGAGAAAAACACAGAGAATCAAGAAAGAAAAAAAGGCATGCAAGCCAGAGGGGGAGGAGATCAGATCAAAACAACAAAAAAGCCTAACCAGAACGAATAGGTGAAGAAGAGATCAACCCAGGGACACCAATGGTCAAATCCAGTTCAGCAGGGCTCCTCCCCAGATCTCCCATCAGGCACTCCGACAGAAAGAAAGAGAAGAGAGGAGAAGAGAAAGGAAGAATGGGAATTATGGTGAGAGGTAAAAGAGAGGAGGTTTTAGGGGGGCTATAAATAACACATGAACAGAAAACTGCTGCAGGAGAGAAAAAGAAAAATGAAATGAAGGGGGAAGAAAAAGAAGAGAGAAAACACATGACCATAAAAGAAGTCTTAAAGGAGGTGGGGAGGGAGCGTAGGGGGTGGTAATGGCGGGGGGAAGGAGGGGAGGTGATTGGGACCCGAGGTGGGGTCCCCGAGGTGGAAGGGGGTGGAGTCGGGGGGGGTTTGACTCGAGTGGTCACGTCAAATGGGGGCAGCAGGAGGCGGGATGACCGACACGTGTCAGCAGGCATCCAGGAGAATAGCCGGCAGGTCTCCTTGTCTGGGGTTGCCGAGTCGGCTTGTCGGGTCGAAGGTCGGCTGCCGTAATCATTGGGCATACACACCATCTATACACGTTTAGAGAAATATTTCTCTTTTTTTTATCTATTTTAATTCCTTTTTATTTTACTCCATTACTCTCTCTCTCTCACTCCCACCAGATGGTCAACAACTCTTTAATTGCTCCTTCTTTTTCTCCCTCCTCTCTCTCTCTCTCTCTCTCTCTCTCTTTCCCAAGTGGTCAACAACTCTTCAATTATTCTTGTTGCATTTGCTGGTGAAGAGAAGACAAATCCTTCCCGGATTGGGTCTGTTCCCTAAATTTAAGGAATAATAAACTAAACTTGGATTAGCAGTACAGTTCTTCTTACACGGCAGCTATAAAAAAAAAAAGAAAAAGAGAATGCATCACAAGAAGCAGTGGACTTCAAATCATTCTCACAGATGCAGC